ACAAAAAATATACATATAATATAAGTTGAAGAGTTAAAAGTATATATACTTAAATAAATTGAATAAACCAATTGATGAAATAAATTTAAAAAATTCATTTTTATAATTAAAAACTAAAAATATATATATAGAATTTAAAAATAAAAATTATATAAAAGTTTAAAATTAAAAAATTAAAATTAACATTTAACCGACATTTTTGTTAGCATGTCGGTACAAAGTACTTGATTCAAAAGAGCAATGCTAGAAAACAAGGATAAAAGGGGCAGTGTGAGATAGAAAAGCATGTGGGTGCGAGGTACTTGAGTCAAAAAAACCAATATTAAAAAACAAGGAAATAGGGAAAAGTAGATCGAAAACGAGTGGCTGAAAACAGTTTAGAAATTGTTTTAGTGATTGTTTGAAATTATTTTTAAAATTCAACTTTTTTTTTTTTTTGACCTTGGGAAATTCGAGGCAAGGGGAGTAAGTGGCACAGGAGCCGATACCAAAACATCGATTTTGGTGAGATTTAAAATCTCACTACGATGAATTCGATTGCCAGGTTCATCATTTAGGTTGACAAAACCTAAGATACAAAAATAAATTGAGAGAATCCACTCTTAAGAAACTCACTCAACAAAGGAGAAGTATAAATTGAAATTTTGGATTAAAACTTACGCATACAATGAAGGGAACATAGCTATTTATAGGCAAAATCTAACACAAGGCAATAAATGAAAAGTAAAAATGCAGTTGGGAGTTAGCCATTGTTGTGGAATTTAGTGGCCATTTTTGACAAAATTGCACCGGCCTATTTGTAGTCTGTAGAGTGTAGTCTGAAATTTGCTAACTTGCAATCCTGGTGCACTTTCCTGGTGCTTTCCCCCAATGCATTCTCCCCTGGTTGGAGAAAACTCGTCCTCGAGTTTGAGTTCAATGCTCATGATCCTCATAGTAAGGAGATAGGTCAGCTACATTGAAAGTAGTAGAGACTCCATAGTCACTTGGAAGTTTGATCTTGTAGGCATTATCATTGATTTTCTCCACTATTTGAAAAGGACCATCTGCTCTAAGGGAGAGTTTGACATTAGGTCGATTAGGAAACCTTCCCTTTCGAAGGTGGATCCAAACCCAATCTCCTTCTTTATACACAACCTTCTTTCAGTGCTTGTCATATGAGCCTTATACCTAATAGTTTGACATTGTAGCTTCTCACGAACTTCTTCATGAAGTTTCTTGATCTCTGTGGCTCGTTGTTCAGCATCTACACTAAATTGTCAAGATGTGGGTAATGGAGCAAGATCTAAAGGATTGAGACGATGCACTCCATATACTACTTCAAATGGGCATTCTCTTATAGCTTGATTCAAAGAGTTGTTATAGGCAAAGTTAGCTTGGGCAAGCACAAGATCCCATTGTTGCAAATTCTTTCCCACAAAACTTTGTAGTAGATTCCCCAAAATCTTATTGATAGCTTCAGTTTGCCCATCGGTTTGGGGATGGCTAGCAGAACTGAATTGGAGTTGAGTGCATATCTTTCTCCATAAAGTCCTCCAAAAATGACTCATGAACTTCACATCTCTATCTGAAGTGATGGTCTTTGGAACTCCATGTAGATGCACAATCTCTCTAAAATATAACTCAGCAATGAGAGAAGCATCATTAGTTTTTTTGACAAGTAATAAAGTGAGCCATTTTAGAAAATTTGTTAACCACGACCATGATAGAATCCTTGCTTCGTTGAGTTCATGGTAGACCAAGGACAAAATCCATACTAACATCTTCCCAAGGTGATGTTGGGATAGGCAATGGTAGATACAACCCTGTGTTCTGATTGATTATCTTGGGTTGGTGACAAACTTTGCACCTTTGAATGTGACGAATGACATTCTGCTCCAGCTTTGGCCGGTAAAAACTTTCTTTAACAAGAGCTAAAGTCTTGTCTCTCCCAAAATGACCAACTAATCCACCATTATGTGCTTCCCAAATAATTGAATCTCGGAGTGAGCAACATGGAACACATAGTCGGTTACCCTTGAAGAGTTAATCTTGTTGGCAATGATATTGCTGAAAGGCTTGATTAAAAGTGGCTTGCCAAATGTTGCTAAAATCAAGATCATCCTTATACAACTCCTTGATCACTTCAAATCCAGTGACTTTCATCTGTAAGGAAGTAAGCAAGGCATGTCGGCGACTCAGAGCATCAGCTATGCGATTCTGGGCTCCAGATTTGTATTTGAGGAGGAAAGGATAAGCTTGTAGAAATTCACTCCAAGCAGCATATTGACGACTGATCTTCTGTTGAGAATTCAGGTGCTTCAATGCCTCATGGTCAGAATGCAAGATGAATTCTTTTGAAAGAAGATAATGACTCCAATGCTCTGAGGCTCGAACAATTGCATAGAATTCTGTCATAGGTGGAATATTTGAGCTTTGTGTCATTCAACTTTTCATTGAAGAAGGCAATGGGTCGACCTTCTTGACTTAACACTGCACCAATTCCAACATTAGAAGCATCACAATCTACTTTAAACATCAAGTCAAAGTTGGGAAGTGCAACTACAAAGGTTTCAGCAAGCTTCGTCTTTAATTCTTCAAAAGTCTATTGGGCTTTGTCACTCCATGAAAATTTGTCACCATTAAGGCTGTTAGTGATTGAGGCAACAATAGAACTAAAATTCTTGATAAATCTTCGGTAAAAAGATGTCAGGCCATAGAAGCTTTGAACATCATGCATCGATGTTGGTGTAGGCCAATTGACAATAGCATGAATCTTACTGGGGCCCATCTTGATACCTTGAGTAGTGATGATGTATCCAAGAAATGTCACACTTGTAGTGAGGAATGAACATTTCTTGAGATTAACATAAAGTTTCTGCTCTCTAAGGACTTCAAAAACTTGCCAAAGATGGTTTAGGTGCTCATGTTCATTCTAACTATATACTAGGATATCATCAAAGTAAACCATAACAAATTTTCCAATGAAGAGTCGAAATACCTGGTTCATAAGGCACATGAAAGTGTTGGGAGCATTAGACAATCCGAATGGCATGACCGTCCACTCGTATAAACCATCTTTAGTTTTGAATGCTGTCTTCCATTCATCACCGGGATGCATTCGGATCTGGTGATATCCACTTCTCAAATCAATCTTCGAGAAGACAGTAGCTCCATGCAGTTGATCAAGCATATCATCAAGGTGTGGAATTGGGAAGCGGTACTTGATAGTGATTTTGTTAACTGCTTGACTGTCTACACACATTCTCCAAGTTCCATATTTTTTTGGGACGAGTAGCACAGGCACGGCACATGGGCTAACACTTTCCTTGACAAGTCCTTTCTCTATTGGTTCTTTGACTTGTTGTTGAAGTTCTGCATACTCTTGAGGGTTCATTCGATAAGCAAGTTTGTTTGGGATGACAGATCCTGGGATGAAATCAATGGCATGCTGAATGTCTCTCATTGGTGGTAATCCAAGAGGGATCTCGTTAGGAACAACATCAGAAAATTCTTCAAGGAGAGATCGGATTTCTTCTGGAAAAGGGCAATTGGCATCATTTATTTTGGATAATAGTAGGAGACATGCTATTTTTGACTCTTGGTGCAACTTCTGAAAGGTTGATCTGGAGATTAAAGCCTTGTCCTCATCCTTATTTTCAAGTGTTTCTTCAGGCTTTAGGGGAGTGAGCTTGACCTTCACACCATCTTTCACAAACGAGTAGGTGTTGGCATGGCTATCATGGATAGCCTTTCGGTCAAATTGCCAAGGGTGACCAAGTAACAAGTGACAAGCATCCATAGGAATAACATCACACCATACTTTTCTTGGTACCTATTACCAATAGAAAAAGACACAAGGCAATGTTTAGTTACTTTTACCTCATTTCCTTTTCGTAGCCATTGTAACTTGTATGGATGGGGATGATCTTTGACAGGCAGACCTAGCTTCTCAACCATATAATTGGACACAACATTCTCACAATTTCCACTATCGATGATGACATTGCAGACTTTCCCTCAAGAAGTACATCTAATGTGAAAGATGTCATGTCGAAGCCAATCTTCATCCTTGGTTATGGTAGCATGAAGACTACGACGCACAACCAAAGATTCTCCATGGTCAGTTGGGATGAGTTCTTCCTCAAGCTGGGGTGACTTAGTTTCATTATTTTGCTCCTTTTCTGCGTCATCTTTTGAGGCTTTATGAATTTATCCTCCGATAATGGTGACAACTCTCCTATTTGGACAGTCGGAGGCTATGTGGCCAAATCCTTGACACTTGAAACACTTTCAAGTGTTAGATTGAGATGGACGGCTTGAGCTGACTTTCTTCTCAGTTTTGGTAGAGGTCTTACAGTTTTTGAGGCTTGAGTCCTTCGACTAACTCCAAAATCCCACAATTTTGAAGCACGAGTGATATTCTTCTTTGAGATTTGCTTTTCAACCTTCAATGCTAGCCAAATTACATCATCCAAAGTCCAATATTGTTAAAGTTGAACAACTTTGGAAATGTCATAGTCCAATTCTCCAAGATATCGAGCTATGGTTTGCTCGTCCTTTCCCGAACATCACACTTCATCATTAATTGTTCAAACTCCATAGTATGTTCTTCCACAGTCAAAGATTTTTGCTACAAATTATGAAATTTAACAAAATTATCTTGGTAGTAACGGTCAGGTAAGAACTTACGAGTGAGTTCCCGACGCATTTTCTCCCAAGTTTTAATTTTGCTGCGGCCTTTTCTTTGTTGACTGCGTTTGAGATTCTCCCACCAAATGGATGCATGTTTCTTTAATTTGATGGCGACGAGCTTCACATGCTTGTCGTCAGGAATATCTTTGAGTTCAAACACACGCTCCATAGTGTGCAACCAGTCGATAAATTCATCTAGTTGAAGGCGACCTTCAAAATCTGGAATATCAATTTTGATGCCAAGGTTAGTGGATTTGGGAGCAGCATTTGGTTGGGGACGTCGATGACAAACTCTCTCTATTGATGATGAGCTTTCATTTTCCCTTAGGTGATGGAAAGGATTCTCGTCGTCAATATCTTCCTCTGACTCATGTGGTTCATCTTGCGGGTGTTGAGCTTGTTGTCCCTCAAAAGCTTCGAGTCTTTCTTGAAGCCTTTGAATTTGTTGACATAGTTCTTCCATCTCTATGTCCCGAACAACTCGTTGACGAGGAGGATTTTGTCTTCTAGGAGGCATGATGAGTTTAGGTTGGTAAGGGGCTTTTTGGAAAGTTAGTATTTGGAAATGGGGGTAATTTGAAATTTATAAAATTATGGGGTCAATCTGGAAGGTCAAAATAAGTTGAGGGACTTGATGAAGTGGCAACAAGGTGCGGCTATGGTGATTACGTGTCACTGATGTGGTTGCTGACGTGGCGAAAATGACGTGGCAAATAGATGAGTGGCAGTGACTGTCTGATGACGTGGCTAATGATGTGGCGGATAAGAGGTTGAAGATGACCAGCGCGTGATGTCACACGAGTTGCAGTGGTGCGAGTGGCCAGCACGTGAAACAACGACGATGGCCCGTGAAGGTGCGTGATGCCTTGTTCGTTGACTAAGTTTTCACTAGAACACTCAGAATGACGTGCAGACTCCACATATATTGGCTCAGATACCAAATGGCGCAAGAGCCAATAGCAAAACGCCAATTTTGGTGAGATTTGAAATCCCACTAAAATGAATTTGATTGCCAGGTTCACCATTTAGGTTGGCAAGACTTAAGATATAAAGATAAATTGAGAGAATCCACTCTCAAGAAACTCACTCAACAGAGGAGAATTATAAACTAAAATTTTGGATTAAAACTTATGCATACAATGAAGGGAACATAGCTATTTATAGGCAAAATCTAACACAAGGCAATAAATGAAAAGTAAAAATGCAGTTGAGAGTTAGCCATCTTTGTGGAATTTAGTGGTTATTTTTGACAAAATTGCACTAACCTATTTGTAGTCTGCAGAGTGTAGTCTGAAATTTGTTGACTGGCAATTCTGGTGCACTTTCTTGGTGCTTTCCCCCGGTGCAGTAAGCCTGGTTAGAAGAGATAGAAGTAATTGTTTCAAACAGTGCAGAGATGCTTTTAAAGTTTTAAGTATAAACACCAGCTACAAAAAAGCTAAAATTTTTACAAGAGTTGCATTTGTTATGGACTGGTGTAAAAGGCATCTATTAGGTTTTATACATAAATAAAATAGCCCTATGTATAACAGCTTCTTCTTCTTCGATTTTAGTTTTCATTGTTGTCCTTCGTTTAGTTTCTAGCTAGACTTTGGTTTTAATATTTTGTGTACTGATGGGTGATTGAAGTTCTTTGAGTAGGTATTATATCTTACAAAGTGATTGAAACTATTATCTTATTAACAAAGGCTTTTAGAATCACCTTACCTATTTACAACTCTCAGTAGACAACAAAAGGGGTGGAGGAAGAAACTTTTCTTTCTTTGGTTTACAATTTTTTTTTTCTCTATTTTCCTCCCATCCCTTCTCCCTTTTTATGTTTCTCTCGAACCAAATACACTTTTATCCCTTTTTGGTTCAAGAGAAATAGAGGGAAGGATGTAATGAAAAAAATGTCTAATTCATGAGAATTGTTTATTAAGTAAGTATCAAAAATACTTAATCCTAGATTAATTGAATAATAAAAAGAAGATGAATTATTTAACTAAAATTAATTAAATAAAAACATGTAAACTAAAGTGCAACTAATATGTGAGTTTCTAAGGCATTTGAATTTCACCATAATCAATTAAATATAAATTCTAGATTAATATGTTTTCAACACCAATTAGATAGTGTGTTATTGCATGTGATAGTAAGTTTTCCTTAATTAACTAACTAGTTATTTCAAGTCAAGTTAATTATCCCTTACTTATTAAATTTGTCATATTTCTATATAATTTAAAATAAATTAGTGAGTATTAGGTGATGTGGAAAATATCTTTAGCTTGAGAAAGAGGAGTTACTAACTCTCTTCTTTTTTTCTATTATTACATATGATGCTAATTACTTTTCATTTTTGTAATCTAACACATTATTTGTATTGTTATTAGTCTAATTCATCCAATTCTTTCTCAAGTTCAAGCATAAGCCAAAAATCATCATTTAAAGTATCAAGTTCAAAAATAGAAACTGATCATGTAAACAAATTTAATTAAAAATATAAAAATTATAAAGTTCATATTAAATGAATTAAGTTACATCATAGGCTTAAGTAAATTAGTTTATAACAAAAGTAATAAAATCTCAAATAAATATTGTTATGCACATGAGAATTTTTCACAAAACAAATACTAAAAGTTAAGAAAAAAAACAAAACCTGTTTAACAAGATCCTCCACTGATCTCTTTTCTTTCCACACTTTATTCTTTTGGTCTGCCGAACTCCCTTTTTCTTTGCTCAGTCCACCAACCTCTGTCGATGGCCAAGGCTCCAGAGTCCAGAAAGCCACTAAAAACCTTGGTTGCCTCCCTTCATTCGGTCATATTCTATTTGCGCTCATGGAATCCTTGGATTAATTAAGAGAACAAAATTCTGCAAATCATGTTAATAAAGCACTTGGTCCCACGCATCTTCTGTCCATGGCCAAGGCTCCAAAGCCTAAAGAGCCACTGAAAACCTTGGTTGCCTCCCTTCATTCTGTCTTATTCTACTTGCGCTCATGGAATCCTTGGATTAATTTAAGAAAATAAAATTCTGCAAATGTTAATAAAGCACATGGTCCCACGCATTTTGTCCTTGTCTTGCTTGGCTTGGTTAGGTGAGAGAAAATTCAGCATAAATCCATCTCTGTTGGTCAAACCAAGCCTTGGTCCTTCATTTTTATGGAATTTGACAGTTTATCCTCTCAACTTTTTATTTCTTTCCATTTTAGTCTTCACTTGCAGAAATAATGACAAATATGTAAAATCATATCAAATTAGAACTAAACAACTCAAATATCATAAATCTCAAGGCCAAAATGATATAAAAATATATGTCAAAACTAGACTTAATAAAGAACCCTTGCCATTGTTTAGTTAAATTAAAATACAAAAAAAATTAATTAAAATAAAATAAGAGAAAACCATCATATAACTAACCAGTCATTATAATCAATATATTTTATTAATTGTTACTTATTATTTGCTACTCACTGTATATTACTTACTTACTATGTAATACCCCAAAATTTTGTGATATTTTAGCATTAAGTTAAGGATTAAATTGTGGAAAAATATTGTTTTGAGTTTAATAGACAAAATTTCAGAACTTGAGGGACTTAAAGAGGAAAAAAATTTTGGATAAGGATGGCTTATTTCTTTTTTCTTCTTTCTTTCTTCCTCATCCCGTGTGCCTCTGCTCTTCCCGACCCCCCTGCAGTTGAACAAAAGAAGCCCAGCCCCGACGCCTCTTCCTCTTAAGAAAACCGGTTAGAGGCTTGGTTTTTGCCTTTCTTTTCTTGTTCGAAAACCAGATTTGGAGCCTTGAAACCTTCTCCCCTTGCAGAGAAAATTTCCAGATCTGCTCTGCTTTGTCTTTACCGCCGGCTGCTATGTGGGTGGGTGATTTCTGGGCATTTTTTTGGTAAGAACAGCCATGAAATCATCTCTTTAGCTTTGAATTGGCTTGGGTTAACTTTGATTTCTCTTGGTTTCTCCAATTTTTGGGTAGATTTCCCGAATTTCCCCCTGAATTTTCTGCACTTCCTGCCGGCTCCTCCCCAAACTGCAGCTCCGGTTTTGCTTGTTAAATTCTGGTATGTGGCAGCCTTTTAAGCCTAAAATTATTCGTTTAGTTTGCTGCCTTGTGATGTCTGAAAATCTGCAGAAAGTGGGGATGAATTCTGGTAGCAATTAGAGCATTTTAAGTGTGTTTTGTTGCTTAATTCATGTGTAAATTGCTTGAGTTGGCTGCTGTAGTTTTTGTAGAGAAAATCCCGTGAGATTAGCTATGGTTTTGTCAATTTTTGGAAGTTGCAGTACTGTTCATTGCGTGATTACTGTTCACGGGTACTATTCACGGGTACTGTTCACACACCGAGGGTCAACAATTAACGGTGATTTAAATGATTAGTTTGTGATATAAGAACAAATTTGGAGATGTCTGGTAATGTGGAGATTGATAGGAAATAGCATCGTGATGGGATAGCTCTAATGAAGTTTCACTTTGAATTTGTGATAGTACGATAATTAATTCTGGGATATTTTGGTTAGATTCTTGATCGTTCTGTCAGTTTAGCACTGAGATCGAGTCTTCGGTTTTATGCGAATTGAGGTAAGTAAATTATGGTAACGTCCTTCGATTTTAAAAGCATGTTTTGACTTGTTTTTGAAGTGGTGGCGGGACTAAACCCGTTTTACGCAAAAGCAAGTATGACTGATTTGAAGTGAAATTTTTATGATATTCATTAAATTGAGCATGCCTACTTGAAATTTGATTGATTGTCCTAATGATTTGAAAGTGATTGGTGAATTATGATTTTTCTGTTAACTTTTACATGTTTGGTCTCCGATGTGGTTATGTTATTAATGATCCTGCGAGTGGGGGTTAAACGCTAGCACATGTCGACATGTTATTGATAGAACAAGTTCGTTCAACCCTGTTAGTGGGGGTTATACACCAGCAAATAGTGTAGCCTACCAGTGGGAGGTTTATAACACTGGCCATGACCTATAGAGGAGACATCTATTCCGTTCCCATACTGTATCTGTTTTTCGTGATTATACTTGTTGGCATGCTTTAAGTTTGATTAAGGGTTATCTATATTTACTTATTGAGTTTATCTCATAGTTTTTCTTTGTCTACCATTTTAGGAAGCGAAGTCAAGAACGGAGAAAAACGAGGGGAATGACGAGTTAGAAGGCTAGCTATATTGCAATTGGATATGAAATTTTAGATATAAATCGTGATCTTGTAATCTAGATGTTATTTGGAGATTTATGATATCAGAGCAAATTTTAAGATTTTATCTTTAGATTTTGTGGTATCAGATTGTGATAAGATTAAGTTCTGAACCTTGTGCATTTGTGGGATCCTTTCACGAGTGCACGGCGTCTGTCGCGTCCCCAAATTTGGGTTTTAGGGCGTGACATACTATTACCTATTACTCATTAACTACTAAATTTTAAGTGTACTCGATTTAGCTTATGATATAGTGACAATTTTATTTGAGGTATGGCCCCTCTATCAATGGTTGAAGGAAGTGCAGTTCGCACATGGTTGATTGAACTTCACTTTTTGATTATATTAGAGCATGTATAGTGGGGAACAATCAAAAAGCTCATTTTTGTGCTATCATAACTTGATTTCGATCGATATTTATTTGAAAATTTTTCCAACGCTTTAATTAAGATTAATTTCCTATAAATTCAAGTTTGAAGCTTTAATGACAAATTGGAAATTAATTGTGTAAACAAAAATGAAATAAATGTGTGATTGGATTTAGTTGTAAAGAGCTCAAGGCTTGAAGTTGTGTATTGCAAGGATAAATAATGAAATTGGAAGCCAAAAGGGATCAAACTGTAAAAGGTATGAGACATGAAGGGCTGAAAGGAGGAAATTAGTAAAACGACGTCGTTTTTATTCAGTTTGAATTTAAAATAAGCAGCCGGGGTTAACCATAGTGTTCCACAAATCACGATGCTTATTAGACCTGGCAATGGGCGGGTTGGGTCGGGTTAGGGTTGGGTCAACTCGGGTGACGGGTTAGACGGGTTGGGTTATAAACGAGTTGCGGATTGGAAACATCCAACCCTAACCCGATCCTAACGGGTTACGGGTTAACCCGCGGATTAACCTTATTTCATTTTTTATAATTATTTTT